ACATTAAGATGAACGCTAGGGCCCCCAGCGTTCAAGTAAATGTAATGTCCGTCCAAATAAGGTCCGATAAGGTATGTAACTTTATCATTAAAAAAATTCGATAAGCTATTTATTTTGCCAGCAAGGAGCTAACAGAGTTATAATAACTTTTTTGTGACGAAATTACCCTATTTTTGACCATGTTGCGGTAGTTTAATTTTGACACTGTTAACATATAACCACCCGATAATGATTTATGTGACTGGTGCATGGTACTATAAGCAGTTTTTTTTTGATCCATAGTATGTAATATAAGGGGTTTAAGCTGGTATATCATTATTTGTCCAATTTCACACGTCATGTTCAGATATCATCAAGATTATGTGACAAAGTAAACTTGTTTGTGCCTTCTGTGTTTTAATTCCTTACGACTATATGATATGATAACAATTCCTAGCAATTCCAGGCCATCAAATAAACCTACACTACTCAGCAATCAGCATCGCTTATCAGGGTGCCCTAAAAATTTTTCATATATTTTCTTAAATGTGTGACAGAGTAAACCTGAGTGCACCATCTAACGAAAAAAAGTCGTCAAATATGTAGGTAATGGTCATATGTACCCATCCAATCAACTGGACACTCAAAAATTTGTTCAAAAACGGCAGTAAGGGGTCCATATTTACTCCGTCACATGTTTATAGTGTGACAATGTAACTTTATACCGTGCCGGCCGTATTTAAGCGATATCTTATCACCTGATTAAGATATCGTTATGTGACAAAGTTAGCCTAGACGATGAGACGATTAGATCCTAACAATCAAGGGTTTGTGTAATTTCATAGTGTGACAAAGTCAACTACACTGTGCCTTTTAATAGGGTCGCTTATATTTACCAATATCCTCAAACTCAAATGAACGTGTCCATATATATATATACTAGAAGATGAAAGATAAATTATGAACCAATCTATCGCAGTATGATTTATGAAGTATCGCGTCTTCAACTTGAAGATGCAATTTGTATCCGACTACAAGTACAAGTTAGCTAAGTGTAAAGGCAAAGTGCCGTTCGCTGGTGCAGTTCTCTGGTGCTCAAGGACAAAATAAAATCGCGATTATTTAGGCCAAAAATCGCGGTGCCGCGACTAAGCTATTACGGGTGGGCGACAATTGACCCCCCGACAATTGACCCCCCGACCCCCCCCGACAATTGACCCCCCGACAATTAACCCCCCGACAATTGACCCAGGACCCTAACCCTAACCCTAGCCCTAACCCTAACCCTAACCCTAACCCTAACCCTAACCCTAACCCTAACCCTAACCCTAATCCCTAACCCTAACCCTAACCCTAACCCTAACCCTAACCCTAACCCTAACCCTAACCCTAACCCTAACCCTAACCCTAACCCTAACCCTAGCCTGACCCTGACCCTGACCCTGACCCTGACCCTGACCCTGACCCTAACCCTAACCCAGGACCCTAACCCTAACCCTAACCCTAACCCTAACCCAGTAACCCTAACCCTAACCCTAACCCTAACCCTAACCCTAACCCTAACCCTAACCCTAACCCTAACCCTAACCCTAACCCTAACCCTAACCCTAATCCTAACCCTAACCCTAACCCTAACCCTAACCCTAACCCTAACCCTAACCCTAACCCTAACCCTAACCCTAACCCTAACCCTAACCCTAACCCTAACCCTAACCCTAGCCTGACCCTGACCCTGACCCTGACCCTGACCCTGACCCTGACCCTAACCCTAACCCAGGACCCTAACCCTAACCCTAACCCTAACCCTAACCCAGTAACCCTAACCCTAACCCTAACCCTAACCCTAACCCTAACCCTAACCCTAACCCTAACCCTAACCCTAACCCTAACCCTAACCCTAACCCTAACCCTAACCCTAACCCTAACCCTGGTCCCTGACCCAGGACCCTGACTCAGGATCCTGATTCAGGACCCTGACCCTAACCCGATCAATTGACCCCAGTGTAATTACATGGGGGGTCAATTGTCGGGGGGTCAATTGTCGTACTCAGCCCTAGATTTCGCGACAATTGACCCCAGTGTAATTACATAGGGGTCAATTGTCGGGGGGTCAATTGTCGGGGGGTCAATTTGCAATTGTCGGGGGGTCAATTGTCGGGGGGTCAATTGTCGCGGTACCAGCTATTACATCCAGGTAGATGCGGATCGATAAAAGTAAAACGGAGTACGACGGAGACTTGAAGTCATCTATTATTGATCAGCGTGCCTTAAGGAATCTCTAATAGAAAGCCGCATGGAGAACGGCACCTTGTATTCATGTTTAGCTATTGTATAAGTTGCTGGGGTGGAATCGAAATTCCAAAACACAGGTAGATTGCACATTAAAATTGGTGCAATTGCAAAGCGATGTATAAGACTGCTATTTTAAAATAGCAGTCTTACTCTTATACATCGCTTTGCAATTGCACCAATTTTATTCTGCCTGTGTTTTGGGATTTCGATTCCATCCCAGCAACTTATAGTTATACAATAGCTAGTATAAGCTAAACATAAAGACTGGGGTGCTGTTCTCTTGTGCATAGTACCGTTCTCCATGCGGTTCGGCTTTCTATTAGAGATTCCTTAAGGCACGCTGATTGAAAATAGACGACTTCAAGTCTCTGTCGACTGTCGTACTCCGTTTTATCTATCCGCATTTACCTGGATATAATAGCTTGTAATGCTAGTTATACGTAGATAACTTCACAGTGTACAGGGTGTTTACGATACATTGGAACGGTTTCAAACATTTGTAGACTAGATTAATTCATGAAGGAGTAACCAGCTACCTTACGAAAAATATTTATTTTCGACATAATTCCGGTGACCTAAATGATTTGGGAACGAAAATATGGGAATTTTTACCGAAAAACCGGTTTTTTTTTTCATTTTCTTATTTTACAAAAATGAAACCCAATATTTGAGAAAATAAAATACAAAAATCTTCTCTGATCAACTGTTCCATCTTGTAAACAATTTCTCTGGAGCCTTTGAAAGTTAGCCTCAACTTTACTTATAATTCTCCAGAGGGTATAGGATACCGACATTATTTAGCCTTAATATAGCCCTAATTATCAACGAGAGATAAGCTTTGACTAACAATTATTTGGATAAATTTTGGATTTGTGAACTATAACAGTAGTACTAGACTACGCTGTTTCATGATAACAGCATCACTTGGAAAATTCTTATAATTTTCTGATTCCACTAGAGCACTAGAAGCCGCATGATAGCTCTACTTAAAGTAGGGCTACATTACACAGACCTACTCTATATACAGCGAGAACACCACGCCCTAAAATCCTATTTTTTCACGTTACCACGCCTTAACCTCCTGTTTTTTACGTTACCACACCCTAACCACCTGTTTTTTACGTTACCACGCCCTAACCTACTGTTTTTTTACGTTACCACGCCCTAAACTCCTATTTTTTACGTCACCACTTCCTAACTTCTGCTTTTTACGTCACCACACCCTAACCACCTGTTTTTTACGTTACCACGCCCTAACCTCCTGCTTTTTACGTCACCAAAATTGCAAATGTTACAATTGTAACATCTGCGATTTTGATCATAAAGAATACTACTTAAAATGTGCACGTTCGAGAACTTATAATAAACATATTATGGCTAGCAAGAATATACTGACTTGAACACACTAAACTGCTGTTAACTGAGCAGAAACATATGAATCCGGAGAATCTGCACATGTATCATACATTTATGGAACTATTCAAAATCCTTAGATTTTATGTCCCTCAGTCCATTAAAGATCTTTTCAAGTTCTGCCCTAAAAATGAAAAACTTCGTTTGATCCCATTACTGAGATTAGATATCTCCCAACAAAACTTTCTGTACACCTCTACCAAAATTTGGAATGATCTTATCCCAGCAATGTAGTTTTCGGGTATTTTACTTGTAGCTGCTGGCCTCTTTATCATTTATTTAGCGTATAATTTAATATAGCTGGTTACTTCTTCATGAATTAATCTAGTCTGTACAGATGTTTAGAACCCCCCCCCCCCCCCCCCCCTCCGTTATCAGTTTTACAAATAGCTATTCTGTCAAAATTACGCTAGCGTAATCATTTGGAAAATTTGGGTTCAGTTGTCGTTTTGGGATTTACGCTGCTTGGGGCTTGGCCTTGGGCACCCATTTAAGCTGATTGGGTGCCCTGTTAACTGTGTGGGAAATAGGTTCAATTGGGTTCAGTCGTCGCGGTCACCCTTATAATTATAAAGAACGTGATATTTGGCCCTCGAACTTAAAAGAGAATGCGCAAATTTGGTCCTCAGATTTAAAGAAAAATGGACAATTTGTCGCGGAGAACTGAAAAATCGCGATTTTTCGCTAGCATCTGAGAAAATTGCGATTTTTCGCGGCAAACGTCAAAAATCGCGATTTGTCGCGTAGAATGGGAAAAATCGCGATTCCGCACGTGCCGCGATTTCCTTTTGACCTTGCTGGTGCTTAGGACTGGGTATATATTTAAGACGTACACTTAAAAACTGCGTAGAGTTCAAGGATGTATAAGGGGCTACTAGAATCAAGTACGTTCGAGGAGGTAGGGGCTAGAATCAAGTATGTCCGTTCAAATAAAGTCCGTTCAATTAATGTCCGTCCAAGTTAAAGTCCGTTGAAATTTTTTCAAAAATTTTTCCATTTCGAACTTTTTGTCCAGAATATGACAACTTTGAGAACTTTATTGTGCCGTAAGTTAACGACGGAAAGGTTCTCCTTGGTCTGCCGGAGGCACAGAAAACTCTACTACTACTAGTATATGATGTTTTCAAGGGTCACTTGGCGGAAAAAAGTCAACAAAATTATGGCACTCAACAATAACATAGTTCATGAGCTAGTCCCCTGTTAGGTAGGGGTATAGTGAATTGAGGGTGAATTGGTTTGCAATATCTCAGGTTTGCAATATCTCACGGCCTGTATTATACTTATAGTAATTTATAGAATAGTTTTACTAAAAGACTGGTAGTCGGTCTAGACTGGTAGTCAGATTAGTTTTGAAGTCTTTATCAGTAGGGTTGCAATGTCCCACGGCGTGAAGCTGTAGTTAGTATTTTAAGTCTTCGTAAATTAGTAGTTATTTAGAATTGTGAAGTTCCCGGTGGGAAAAGCAGTGGCTTAAAGATTGTTAAAGTTTCAAATTTATTAGAGCTTATAGTTAAAAGAATACTTACAATTATTTTAACAGCATTGATTATTGATTATTGTGTTGACGAACTAGCCGAGGTGTTACAAGAGTGCCATGAGAATCAACTCCCCCTTCAACTCCCCAAAGACCTGTCAACCAGCACTATACAAAAAGGGAAGCTCGCCTGCTGCTCGCTGCCTTTCGCCTTCTGCATTCACCTGTCTCCTATCATGGCCCGGGGTCTTGTTCTGCTGTGTCCGTTCTCTCTCCACATGTTACTCATTTCTATTATAGGTTCGTAATTTAGATTAAGTTCTTGATCATGTTATTGTCATTGATTGCATTCGTATCAAAAGGTTGACCTTAAAGATTAGTTCGTACTTAGGTCAATTTCCGTCGTATAATGCTTAATATGCCGTTAATATACATAATATCTCATCAGATTCCTCGCACTACTAGTACTACCTGTTCCCGATAGATCCTTCCAGAATTAGGCTATTGAGTTCCTTTCCTGAGGTAAAAATCTTACGTAACCCTTAATCCATCGTTCATAATCATAGCACTTTTCCACTTGTTAACGTTGACGATTGTAGTATTATAGTTATTTCCTGTGTACTAATTATTAGTTCTAATAGTTATTAATTTCCAGGCAATATGACGGTGATACCCACCCCACTTGTTCTGCCTGTCCTCACCTAAGCTCCACCAGTCGTATTGCTTCGTAAGTTTATTACGTCTTCATTAAGAGGTTCCTACGATAGATTTTCCCTTAATTTAACTTAATCAATCTGAATATTGTCACTACTTAAACGCTCCGTACTTATAATTATCTTACTTCAGATTGATTCCCCCCTCCTTCCTCGAGAACCGTTCGGCACTATGTTAGATCCTCGAGATGACCATGCAAGATGGTTCAGTTCTAGTTGACATTCCACTATATGAAAAGACCAGATCGCCACTTTATATTCTTATTCCTTGAGAGAGAGAGAGAACCGGAACAGCGACCTCGTGAATCATCCTATTTAATCGCTTCACCCTCGCCACATTCGCTACTACTTCAATTATTGGGGTAAATGGACATTAACACTAAGTTATGAGATATGAGAGTTAAATTAATATTGTAGTCCTATTTAACCCAATTATTTTACAACCCTTTATTAACTTGTTTTAATTGGTTATCTTCCAGATACAAATTCGCATAAAATTCTGAAGTCCATAATTACAATAGAAATTACTGTCCTAAAAATGTATCCGTACAAAGAGAGTTTGGGTTTGAACTGTGCCCTGAGTGAGTCTCAAACCGGGAGGTATTCCATAATATCGGAACTTGAATTTCCATACTCTAGTTAAAAGGAGCCCATTATACGTAGTTAAATTAATACCATCACAATTTAATGAAATATAATAAATAAATAATCTCTAGAAGTCATGGAAAATTGGAGCATTAAATAGGCCGTTAAGTAAGTTGTCGTGCTGAAACCCGAGTACGCCTCTTAACAATGTAGCCCTAATGCGGCTCTCTCTGTACAAAATTTTCTAGCAAAATTTTCAAAAAATCTGGAAGAGACACCAAACCTTAGTTTGTTTTGTTAGTGCACCGTTAGTGCAATTTATTTATTTACATTGATATTAGTTGTTGCAGCCATAGCCATAAAATGATGAAGTCACAACAGAGAAGTAGGTAGAAGAGACAAAGAAGTGATGTAATTATAATGAGAAGTAAGAGAAGAAGATGTTAAAGAGAAAGAAGTGATATATTATAGGAAATATACGGCCGTATAATTAGATAAAGATGGGAATGATGCGAGAGATGTATGATGTTACGAGATAATGAGATTATGCTATTATGAGATTTTGAAATGTGAGACAATTATATTATGGGGAGATATATCAAACTGCAGTATAAATTATTAGCCGGCTAAGGGATACGGGGTTTAGAAGATCTTGTGAAGTTTATTGGGAGGAGGTGCTATAATGGTTGTTGACAAGGTGTTAGTTTTAATTAGTAGATGGGCTTCTTATCTGTTATTTGAGTGTTGTGATACTGCCAAAAGAGCTCTTGGTGTTTAGAAACACTTCGGATTCAGTACGACCCTTTGAACTTTGAAACTAAGATTGGCAACATGATTTAGCGTAATATGGTATGCGGACGTGAAGAAGAGAAGATATGATACAGAGGGAGATTTGATAAAGGGTTTGTTGTTTAAAAATAAAGATGATTTAGCGTAATAGGGTATGCGGACGTGAAGAAGAGAAGATATGATACAGAGGGAGATTTGATAAAGGGTTTGTTGTTTAAAAATAAAGATGATTTAGCGTAATAGGGTATGCGGACGTGAAAAAGAGAAGATATTTGAATTATGATGAGACAGAGGGAGATTTGATAAAGGGTTTGTTGTTTTAAAAAATAAAGATGATTTAGTGTAATAGGGTATGCGGACGTGAAGAAGAAGGGAAGATATTTTAAATGAAGTAGATACATAGAGAAGTGATTTGATATAGAAGTGATGTTGTTAAAGTTGGCATGGTGGAATCATGCTGGGAAATAAGGGATACAAATTTTGTTGAAGTTGGGGTAATTTACGTTGTGAAATATGGCTGGTGGCTGCACATTAATTACTGCATTAGGCATTTATAGATTTATGAAGAAATATGTAAGTACTACTAAGATTATTTTTATTCTCCGCAGAATACCGAAAAAGTTACGAACAAGTTGAGAGAACTTAGAAGTGCAGATGTTGTAGCGATAATAAATAAATTAGAAACATTGCCCTTTGTAGCAGCAAATCCTTTTGCACTGTGTTAGAATTGTTTATGCTGTGTGAAGTAGTACCGTCGGCTGATCGAAGTATAGCCGCTTAGTAGTATTATATTTTAAAAGTCAAGTAGTTTAGCTAAGAGTTGTAGTATTCGAATTAAGAAGTATGTATTATTGATTAAGTAATTGCGCGAATTAAAGATATAAACGGCTGATCGAAGAATAGCCAATGTAGAGTTTCGTATTTTAATTTTTTTTTGAAAGTTTATTTTGTCGTGCTTTTGCGAGAAAATGTGCTATAGAAATTTTATAGATCATAACATGTAATTGTAGAATCATTATAGTATGGTTTAATGTATAAAAAAAAAGATAAAAAAGAGTAAAAAAATAAATAATAATAATAATAAAGATAAGTAAGTAAGAAGATAAAAAGTAGAATGGTCGAAATTTTATTTCAATTATTTCTTAAGTTATGAAGTATACACTATGTGAGTGAGCTTAAACAGTCGAAACCTCCTATTTCTATAAAGATCCGATATAATAATAACATAAACGATAATAACACTATAAATTGATAACAAGCTTAAATTATAAATTTTGTTTTAACGTGTATTGTGACACGGTGGTCTCTCTATCGGGAGGAGTACAGACTTTTAATTGTTGTGCTGTAATTACCGCTGAAGTAGAGTTATGTGAAAAAACCTTAAGGATAGATACTTTATGATTTTAATTTAAGTTGCCTATTAGCTGTTTGTAAGGGTATGATCCGATAAATGTATTTAATTAATATATCGTAAAAATTATTAAACAATTTAAAAATTATTAGACAATTTAACAAAGTATTATCTAAATGTACCGAAATGGAAGTATATACGGACAAAATTTATTCCTTATTCTTTACTCTTTCTCATTATTTAGTACGTCTTGTATGTAACTAAGGATTCTTTAAATTATATATTATAACATGACGGGGTCGTCATTAAATTTCGATCGGGGAGATGTTAGGTAGGGGTATAGTGAATTGAGGGTGAATTGGTTTGCAATATCTCAGGTTTGCAATATCTCACGGCCTGTATTATACTTATAGTAATTTATAGAATAGTTTTACTAAAAGACTGGTAGTCGGTCTAGACTGGTAGTCAGATTAGTTTTGAAGTCTTTATCAGTAGGGTTGCAATGTCCCACGGCGTGAAGCTGTAGTTAGTATTTTAAGTCTTCGTAAATTAGTAGTTATTTAGAATTGTGAAGTTCCCGGTGGGAAAAGCAGTGGCTTAAAGATTGTTAAAGTTTCAAATTTATTAGAGCTTATAGTTAAAAGAATACTTACAATTATTTTAACAGCATTGATTATTGATTATTGTGTTGACGAACTAGCCGAGGTGTTACAAGAGTGCCATGAGAATCAACTCCCCCTTCAACTCCCCAAAGACCTGTCAACCAGCACTATACAAAAAGGGAAGCTCGCCTGCTGCTCGCTGCCTTTCGCCTTCTGCATTCACCTGTCTCCTATCATGGCCCGGGGTCTTGTTCTGCTGTGTCCGTTCTCTCTCCACATGTTACTCATTTCTATTATAGGTTCGTAATTTAGATTAAGTTCTTGATCATGTTATTGTCATTGATTGCATTCGTATCAAAAGGTTGACCTTAAAGATTAGTTCGTACTTAGGTCAATTTCCGTCGTATAATGCTTAATATGCCGTTAATATACATAATATCTCATCAGATTCCTCGCACTACTAGTACTACCTGTTCCCGATAGATCCTTCCAGAATTAGGCTATTGAGTTCCTTTCCTGAGGTAAAAATCTTACGTAACCCTTAATCCATCGTTCATAATCATAGCACTTTTCCACTTGTTAACGTTGACGATTGTAGTATTATAGTTATTTCCTGTGTACTAATTATTAGTTCTAATAGTTATTAATTTCCAGGCAATATGACGGTGATACCCACCCCACTTGTTCTGCCTGTCCTCACCTAAGCTCCACCAGTCGTATTGCTTCGTAAGTTTATTACGTCTTCATTAAGAGGTTCCTACGATAGATTTTCCCTTAATTTAACTTAATCAATCTGAATATTGTCACTACTTAAACGCTCCGTACTTATAATTATCTTACTTCAGATTGATTCCCCCCTCCTTCCTCGAGAACCGTTCGGCACTATGTTAGATCCTCGAGATGACCATGCAAGATGGTTCAGTTCTAGTTGACATTCCACTATATGAAAAGACCAGATCGCCACTTTATATTCTTATTCCTTGAGAGAGAGAGAGAACCGGAACAGCGACCTCGTGAATCATCCTATTTAATCGCTTCACCCTCGCCACATTCGCTACTACTTCAATTATTGGGGTAAATGGACATTAACACTAAGTTATGAGATATGAGAGTTAAATTAATATTGTAGTCCTATTTAACCCAATTATTTTACAACCCTTTATTAACTTGTTTTAATTGGTTATCTTCCAGATACAAATTCGCATAAAATTCTGAAGTCCATAATTACAATAGAAATTACTGTCCTAAAAATGTATCCGTACAAAGAGAGTTTGGGTTTGAACTGTGCCCTGAGTGAGTCTCAAACCGGGAGGTATTCCATAATATCGGAACTTGAATTTCCATACTCTAGTTAAAAGGAGCCCATTATACGTAGTTAAATTAATACCATCACAATTTAATGAAATATAATAAATAAATAATCTCTAGAAGTCATGGAAAATTGGAGCATTAAATAGGCCGTTAAGTAAGTTGTCGTGCTGAAACCCGAGTACGCCTCTTAACATCCCCGCCAACATGACAAACTTGTTCCAGCCTCTAGATATTAGACATTGTCCGACGTTGTTATAGTTCATATTACTGAGGCCGAGGGGAGGTAATGAAACAGTGCTAGGAAAGCTCTACGTGGAGAGATTTACTGCAGGCCGCGCTCAGCCTGTCATTCCGCCAAATTTTTATTAATGAACATAATAGCCTGGGGTCCTCAGGTAAGGAGAGATATCCTCGTTTTCAATTTGTATTAATTGTGCTGCCAACCCATTTATTTACTGTTTAACTATACGAAGTTTTGGTGCTTTCATCAATATTAAGTTAATATCTGCTAAAAATAAATTCTTGCTTTTGTTGCGGAGAAGACGCAGAATTAGGATTGCTGACTTGGCTGCTCGAGTTGCAAGGAGAGGCTGACTATTAAGCTAATTTACTTTATGAAGACAAATTTCGAGTTTTTGTCTTTGAAGCTATTTGTAAGTGTAAGTGTAAGCCATGCATGCGGCATGCATATGAGATTGTTCACAAATTACGTAAGTCAATGTAGGAAAGAGGGAATTTGGTACACTTTGACTTACAGTTACACTATGAGTATGACTATTGAAGCCAACGCAATTTTTACGCGATAACTATGAACAAAGTGAATACGTAAATCTAAAATGGCCAAAATTTGGCTTAATAATATATGTGAGCGATCCCTAAGCTAGGGTGTAGGGTAATACAGGTAATACTGATAAGTAGAGGTATATATTTCGCATTTTTCCGGAGAACGTTAACATATTTGACTTTTGTCATACGTTGTATTAAGTGACTTCAAACTCGGCACAGTTGAAATTTGCCAGAGCACAGAGTAAATCAATAAAAATTACTTTTATATCTCCGCCAAAAGCACACTCCGATCCCCAAATTGCGCGAATTGCTGTAACTTCTTTCAAACTTCATGAATCGAGGATAATTATTTTGCAATGTATTCAGAGTCAATATATGCACTTATACGAATCACTTGGAATACTTTTGAAAGAGAATAACAAGCTCAAAAACGCTACTGACGTATTTCTCCATAAAAAGCACAACAGCGTGAGAAGCTTTTGTCAAGGTGCCTCGAAAGTGATCTTAAACGATTCCCCGTTCAATTTTGGTCGAGGAACGCCAACTTAGTGCACAACCAAGGAAGTTATAGACCTATTTCATACGTATCAAATTGGATGTGCTTTTTGCGGAGATATAACGTGCGCCTTCCAGTAAAATCAAAAATTAGGAAATTAACTTGTAGCGCGATGCACTATTCGGTCGCGCCGCGCATCAAATAATTCTTCTCGCCGCGCATCAAATAATTCTTCTCTACCTTCGGTAGATCGGCGAGATGCACCACTGTGCCTCACCGAGCTGCGAAGGATTGACATCGTGAATCAAGAAATTAACTTGATTGACGATGTCAATCCATCGAGATCGTTGCTCTGCGAAGCAGAGCAACGATCGACGACGTCGATGCGAAGCAAGAATGCTAGTTTGCGCGTTACTGGGCCGCGCTCAGCCTGTCATTCCGCCAAATCTCTATATATTTATGAACATAATAGCCTGAGGTCCCCAGGTAAGTTTGCGCGGCGCGTCGAAGCGGCGAAGTCCTCCAAGAAATTAACTTGCATTAATTTTACATTTTCCAGGTTAATAATTTAGTATATAATATAATTTAGTATATAAAACGGTTGCAGAACATCATGCAGTCTTTTACCTGGCATGCCAATCCTAATGCACGTAATCAGTAATGTTGAACATTGTTAATGGTCTGGCCCGGCGCGCGCTTCGGTAGATCGGCGAGATCAGATGCACCACTGACCACCGAGCTGCGAAGGATTGACATCGTGAATCAAGCCATCGGGCATTTCGAGAAGAAAGCGGCGCGCGCTACTTCGAAAAAATTTAGACGAGTAACATCCGTCAACCAGTAACGGCGCTTTTGATCTTTACGAGCTACTCATTTAAATTTAATTAGTGGGTGTATATTATATTTTTAAAAATAATATTCGTTATGAGAGAAGCGAGCAATAATTAATTCGCAAGCCTTGAAAAATGTTTCATAAACTTGTATTGAAGCGAAATTATTTCGTAGCCCCTAAAATGCAAATGACTCAAATTCGACATAACGCAGTACGCACTACACACTAGCTGAAGTAGCTCTGATACGTCGGATTATAAGTATAACCTTCGCTGTAAGACTGGCCTCGATCCAGCTCGCCATTAACTATTAATTCTGAGATTCAAGCAAATCGAGAATGTTCAAAGGGTGCAGAATGCTCAGCTCAGCTTGTCAAAATACCGGTGGAAATTATTTCGTATGCCCTAAAATGATATCTACCTAGATCCAGTCTTAATCTTTAATTCAAATTTGACATAACTCACTAGCTGTTAATGTTATAGAACCTATATTTTATATAAAACTGGCCTCAAGCTCACCATTAAATTTTTGAGATTCAAGCAAATCGAGGATGTTCAAAGGGCGCAGGATGTTCAGCTCGAAAAATTACTGGTGGAAATTATTTCGTAGGCTCTAAAACGACTCCTACAGATAATACATAATAGTAAAGGCTCTTACGGGCATTGTCTGCTCGATACGCTAGGGACCCCAGATACACCTTACTAGACGTATTTTTGACCGTAGAATCGATTAAAGGTAGTTTCAAGATGATTGGACTGAGTTAGTGCGGTTAAAATTGCAAAAAACCGATTTTGGGGCCAAAAATAGGCTAAAAAACCATGTTTTTTGATAATTTGAGCAAGTTAATTTTGTTGGCATGTCGGCAAAACTTGCATAAAGATAGTTAAAAGACAGCCGCACAAGATGGTATAAAAATAAAACAAATCCCTCTATTTTAGCGCAGGTAAAAATCTAAAAAAGTGGTAAAAATTTTGACTTTTTTGCTTGAAGTTTGAATAATTTTTTGCAGTTGTATTAAATCAACCCAAAAATAGTCACATCGTGTTTGCCTTAATTTTTCCTTTCCGAGAAGTACCCACTTCATATACTTTATCGAAGTTTGAATATTGTCACTCCGCAAGCGTTTTTGCCAAATTTTCGACGCGCACTACGCGCAAAAGCATTTAGTTGTTATCAATTGGCACCCGCGCGTTCATCATAAATTTCAAACAGCTATAACTCAGCAAGATTATGTCCGTTCTAGCTCATATTTTCACACCAAATAGAAAATAATGTGTTCTTATTGCTGACAAAATATGAATATAATTACTCTATTTGCCTTAAAGTAATAGACTGTCAAAGTTTAAAACGCGCATCGGTATAGCACGTGACTTATAAGGCCAAATTTATACTTCTTAACATATTATCGATCCTTAGACATCATACTATTGTGTCCAATTAGCGGTTAGGTCTCTAAACTCGTAGCAGAAAACACGTCTTTTTGCCCGTAAGAGCCTCTACTAGAAGTAGTTCTGAATCTGATACGCGTACGTCGGATTAAAACCTGCTTGCTACCATACACGTTGTAAACCTTCGGCAAGGCGCGCGCTTCCAGCTTCGCGCGCGAAAAGTGGCATGCAACGTATTTGATTCACGATGTCAATCCTTCGCAGCTCGGTGAGGCACAGTGGTGCATCTCGCCGATCTACCGAAGAGAAGCATTATTTGATGCGCGCGCGACCCAGTAGTGCATCGCGCTACAAGCAACGTATGTCTGATGTCAAGGCTATCATGTTCATAAACATATAGAATAGAGATTCGCGGAATGACAGGCTGAGCGCCGTAAGTCATACGTTGTAAGTCATACGTTGTAGACCTGCCGCGCAAGTGTGCGCGTCTGTATCGTGGCTTTCGCCACGATACTTAGTGCTTAGTGAAACGACAATGGGGGTCACAAAGTGATACAAGTAAACCGGAGGCCGGCGCGCGAAAATTAGAGGTATACAACGTGTGTCACTGTCAACAGTCAAAAACCTGCAATACTGGACTCCATCTCGTCATTTTTGTGATTCAAGCATATTGAGGATGTTCAGAGCACAAAGGGTGCAGTTGTCATACGTTGTATGACCCGCCGCGCACGAAGTGCGCGGCTCCCCCCTGTATATCGTCAGGACGATAAAGTGAAACGACCGTGGGGGTCGCAACGTGATACAAGGGTGCAGGATGTTCAGCTCGACAAAATACTTACCTGGGGACCCCAGGCTATTATGTTCATAAACGAATCAAATAGAGATTCGGTGGAATGACAGGCTGAGCATTGTTGTCCATTGTTTAAGGACTAGCCCGTCGCGCTACTTCGAAGAAATTTAGACGAGCAAGCTGAGCGAAATATGGCGGTAAGGTCTAGTGATTAATCATCATCCTATTAATAAGGGGGGGGGGGGGGGGGGGGGGGGGGGGGGGCAACCATATTAAAGTATATTAAAATGTAGGATTTTTCCCGATTTTGACCCGGGGATATACTTCGATATACTTTAATATGGTTGGCTCCCCCCCCCCCCCCCCCCCCACCCCCCCTAATAATAATATTATAATATAATTTATATGGGCTGACCCTCGCATCTCTTTGCTTGTGATCAAATAAACTTGTGATCGAAGACACTTTGCAAGTACTCCGTTTAAGTAATTAAATAATCTGACAAATAAAAGTCGGTTAATTAACCACACTTGTTTCGCATTAATTCGTAATTAATCTATGTAATGCATAATTGTAATCTCATAACCATGTACATCATACATGATAATGTAATTCTTACTTAAACATGTCATGAAGAAATCAAATAAGTTAGAAGATGGTGAGATAAAATTTATAAGAGTGGGTTCTGTATCGAAAGTTTCATCGGATTATTTTAACATTGAAAAGGTTTCTGCCACTTCATGTAAACACAATTTGTCTTCGGAGCTAGTTTTTAGAATGCATGTGGAAATTCCTAAGGTTCTTAAATTCACAAGAACAGCCTCTCGTGCAGATACCAATGTCAGTCTTTAATTTAAAATTGTTAATCATTAATAACATTACTGAATTTTCAATCGCAACGTAGTCTTTAAAAATAGCACTCCATAACCGGAGTAAAACGGCCCAAGTGTGTAACCGTAGATAAAGAAAGTCTCAGGATAGCCAGCCACCCGTGTAAGTTCCATCACAAATTTCTGAAAATCAATTTTATATGTTTCAGGTAGATGTAATTTTTGGTGGAGCAGTCTGAAGTGCTGGATATTCAGTACTGTAAAGGTTGGAATTTTGAAACATGCTAATTGCAGTTAGAATACCGGTAACGGTATTTCAGCAGGACGGTCCATCTTGAGAACTATCTTCACTACAATTATTCGAAAGAAGTATATACAGACAACACTTAACTAAAAAACACTTAATTAAGATAAATATGTAACGTTCCCTTTTACTAAGGTGTGCACAGAAAGTCCCCTCGTGTTAACTTAATAATATAATTGCATTAAAAAACAAAATTATCGTGTTATTCATTCCGGGTACGAAGTTGGTTATCATAATGTAGGGACAGGAAGTGATACCATATAAGGGCATCAACGTGTTCATAAATAAGACGTGGACAATAAATAAGCAGAAAAATGGTCAAGGTACTTCCAAAAATTTTAAACTCAAGTTAAAAATTGAAATTATGATCATGATACTCAACTCAGAAATTATATATCGCAATTAAACTATGTCTCCATCTTCCGAACCAAATGTACTTAATCTGTATGCAAGCTACTCGCCAAAGCTCTTGTTCTCTTTCAGAATTGAATGCATTTTTTACACATTAGAAAATATCCAGAAAAGTATATACTATCCCCTTTAAATAATTAACCGCATATTTCATTAAAAAACCATTTTCCCGGAGAACCAAGTCCACTACGGTTTAAAAAACTAACCAAGAGGTGTTACAAGAAATTACCAATATCTATCTGTGAGACTAAGGTATAAAAATAAATATGACCTTCCTAACCAACCCCAGTGTACTATAAGAGCGAAGAGAAATAACGACTGTAAATTCGCTTGTATTATAATCATAAACAATTCGTGAGATCACCGCGCAGTAACCGTTCAACTTTAAAATTGTAAACATTTTTACTCTGAGAGCTAAAATAAAAAACACGCAAAGTGACTGCAGGAGCGGGGAGGGATCAGGTACCTGATCCCTCCCCGGCAGGAGGCAACCTAACGTGTGTTGTATATTATATGCTTTTATATATAATATATTATATATGAATAATAAGTTACTGCTTAACACAAACGCCCACGTGCATTGGACTGCCGTTACCGGCCGTGTTCATCGTCCCGTTTTCCGTGCGCAGCGAGTTCCGCGTCGACCGGCGCCGACATTGTTGCTCTTTCGCACTTACAGTCCTATCGGGCTCGGTATTCTGATTCTGAGAGGCGGTGGGGGCGACCGGATAGTCACGTGACACCGCCACGGAGTTCTGATTGGAAATTGAGAAGTCACGTGACATGTCCATGCTGATGGAATTGACTGGGATGCCAAGACACATCTGATTGTACGATATACTCGAGTCCACGCTCATTTTCCTGTTGTCCAGTGTGGTGCTACCTTGCACCGTGTGTCGCCGTTTGGGTACTGAAGAGGTGATGTTACTGCAGCTTTGGCTGGCGCTGCTGCTACTGATCGAGTGGTTGCGGACGAAGGATGCGCCGCTGTACAACTGAACCGTACTTGCTGTATCAGAGTTACCTTCTCCCCTAAAAACAGTTATTGTTAAAATTGCGCAAACGATTTAGATACTGAGTTGAGAATTCTGCGCACGTGATTGGAATTGGCATCCAAACGCGGAAAGAAATCCTATCAAGAGAAAAAAGGCGATATCAGAGTTAATATGCTATGGTGTGATATAAGATTTTCCAACGTATCCGTACCTATGGCTACCATGACTCTCCTCCGCGCACGACTTGAAAAACCGGTGTTCCAGAGCCTCAGTGGGGATGATGCGTTTCTCGGCGTCATACTCCAACATGCGCAGCAAGAGGTCCTTAAACTTGGTATAGTCTGCAACTGAGTGGCCAGGTTTACCGGCGCGTCTTCCACCGGGCCCTCCCGTTTCTACTCCCAGTATCTTGTGCAGGGTTCTACTACCGGGTGATAACGGCTCCTGATGTGATTAGCAAGTTAACTAGGCGACTAACTGGTGAAATACTACTATTTCATATAATAATTCATGTAAAATATTTGTAATTTAGCTAAATATTTTTGTTTAAGTTCGTACCTTGCTGGAAGGGTTCGGGTTCTTCTTCAAGACGTATGTTCCGTCAGGAAGCCGATCAAAGAACTTTCTAGTTTTTGGGGCTTTGTCGAGGAGTCCCGCAGGGGGCAGTCCTAGTACCTCTACAATCTTTACCATCTGGTCAAACTGAGAAGGGAATAGGGTGGTTATATATTACCAATTGTGAAGATAATATCTACTATTTTAAAAGTACAACTACTGAATGCTTCACTATTGATAAAACAAGCCAGAGATAAGGTTTTCAAATTAAGTTCTATCTAAGTTCAGGCTTCAGCACCCCACCCTGTCTACTTTAAAAACTGAAATGAAAATTAACCAGCTTTTTTACCTCATTCTGTCCAGCAAAAAGTGGTTCTCCAGTGTGCATTTCGACTAATATACAGCCCAAACTCCACACATCAATAGCCATACTGTACTGCAAACCTAGCAATACCTCCGGTGACCTATAGAACCGTGACTGAATATACTGGAATATCTGAAAAGTAAGTTATTGTCAAATGAGTAAGTTATTGTCGAGCAATTGTTCAATTATTTTACGAGTTTATCTTTTAGGCGTAGTTGGAATAATTGTAATGTAGTGCATGGTAGCTGAATATTTGTAGAGTTGGGGGGGGGGGGGGGGGGGGGGGGCCAACCATATTAAAGTATATTAAAATGTAGGATTTTCCCCGATTTTGACCCGGGGATATACTTTAATATACTTTAATATACTTTAATATACTTTAATATATCCCTATCTCCTTGGAGGCCTACATCAAAAATTGTTGCCCAAAATAAGCTTGAAATGTAATTCTTAATCGATTCCAAAAAGTTCTTGAAAAAATATTGAAAACTGATGGAGTTATTTCAATTTTAATGAAGTCATTTTGGCTAGTATTCCGAACCGAGATATTATGTGCAATTTTCCCAATTTTGTTCATGGAGGTCTTTTTACTTAGTATCCACTATATTCAACAAACACTGAGTTATATCTTTCACATAGAGTTAGTCTCATTAAAAAATATTGAAATTTTATCGAATTTGGGCAAAAGCGAATTTGGGCAAAAGCGTATGCCCAAATATGGGCATATTTTTTAAAGCTCATAGCTCAGCCAATTTTCGACCAATCTGGATGGAAATTCATGTACTAGTCCTAAAACAAGCTTATCTTGCGAATCTGAGTGAAAAATATAGTTCATCATGTAAATCTTAACGAAGAATATAAATCTTCTAATTGTAGGTATATTAAAGTATATTAAAATGTAGGATTTTTTCCGATTTTGACCCGGGGATATACTTTAATATACTTTAATATGGTTGCCCCCCCCCCCCCCCCCCAGAGTTTACAATTAACATTTGTATCGTTCGAGGCATACGCTTCGAACGGAACTCTTTAGTAATATGATCAAAGATAGAGATGATGAAACTGATTTATAACAATTTAAAAAAAGGATAAAACATACCCTCTGACCATACTGACAACTGCTACCGAAGTCAATGATCTTAATAGCACTCCGCTTTGGATTACAGAGCAGAATGTTTTCCGGTTTTAGGTCACAGTGGATTATCTCCATCTTATTTAGAAACGTTAGCGCTTTTCCCAACTGTGTGGCAAACTGTAACACAATTAGTTGTTAATAACTTAGTAAGTTTATTAATTGATGACAATTAATCGTTGTTCCCACCTAATTGATTGTGTTGATAACTCATATATAAATTTAAATCGTTGTAAGAATTGAGGATGAGAGGCCATATTCATTATTCAACGTACTCAATGAGAAATCGGAACCTCAATAATGGGAATCCCAAAATGGTTTAAAACAGAATATTAATATTAACACATCCACCAACCTTTCTCGTAAGATTGAGGGTTACCCCGTTAAAATCAGTATTCTTCAACAAATCGTACAAGTTAAAGGAGAGAAGTTCGAAAACAAGACAAAGATGATTTCTGAAAACAAAGTTGCACTTCAGCTTGACGATAAGGGACGTGTCGGACATTTCTGCCTCAGCTTTGTTCATCATCTCCAGTAAAGATACCTAGTTAGAATTACAATTAGTAATGATTTTTTAGGTGGAAACAGAGGGAAAATGAAATGAGTAAACAACAAATCAAAAACAATTTAGGTTAAATTTAAATGAATCTAGGTAGGATATATATCTCAACTGACATAATCACGGTAACGCCGGGTAACGCAATTCTATGAGGGAAGTTGAATAACACGCTTACCTCAATTTTAGCTTGATTCAGGAATAGTTTTCGGTTTTTTATTATCTTGATAGCAACAGCTACTTGATCTACCAAATCGTACGCTTTAGCAACTTGCCCAAACGACCCTTTGCCTATTAAACCCTCTATCTGATACCTGCAAAAATAAATCTTTAGTTGGGGAATCTTTACTACATATTATTATGTAGTGGGTTACAATTTTTTTTTTCTTCAAGACTCCAGCAAAATTATTAATTAACACCAGTGATTGCAACTTTTCTAATTTTCCCATCTTTAATTAAAACTAGCCATAACTAGTCATAACTTCTTAAAACAATTCACATCAACATAATTTTTGCTAATTAATTAATTTAACCTACCTTTCGTTCCAGATCTCTCCCTGTTTTATGATATAATCGTAGTGTTTATCGTCGTAACCGTCGTTGTACAGACATTTCTCCTTCTTGTTGTTCATCTCCTCACTTCCCTTGCTCTTGTGTTTCCGCTTCTTCTTCTGGTAGTACACCTGAAACGTGAGCCTGTTACAACATTATTACAACAACGTTTCGTACTGGGTTTTAAGTGCTTACTGCTTATCATAGCATTTCTTTCGTTCCTTTCGGTAGCTCTTGAAGCCTAGCCGGAGAATGTTTGAATATGGTATCAGGTATGTTATAACGAGAAGCAGGATAATAACAACCTCTGCTACCCCCCCCCCCCCCCCCCCCCCCTGAACTTCATCACAGGATAGCTAGAGGTAAGTTATATTCTGGCATTTAATTTCTTGTCCAAATCTGCCCAGGAAGCAGTGTGAGAAAATTAAAAACCGTGAATTTCTTATCGTGGTGGTTGCTAAATTTACTTTTGTTGACATTAAGTGCTTGTGGGAAAAGTGTAATATGAGAACTAGAGAAGATAATAATCATGTAAAATTGCAGATATAGATAGAAACAGTTTGTAATTGAATTTACTTATACAGGAAAAGAGTGAATAATACCTTGTCGAGTAGCTTTTCGATAATCTTTATAGTCATAACACGTTGTCGATGAAAACTAGTGATCAGTTTGTGTAAAGCTTTTTATTGTGTAAAATTAAAACTGAAAGCAGAGTTGTATTTAATTTAGAGTACTAGAATATTTATCATGTACGTCAAGAACCGTTACTAATCGTTGCAACGATGAATTTAATAATAAGCGAAGTAAAAATATATTGCAAGTAAAATCAACATCTATTCTGACCGATGACATCAACAGAACAAAAAATAATTGTAGTTAACGCAAGTATCAGACCCATATTGATTCTAGAAATGTCAGACCTTTATCCAAATACGCTAGTGCTTCAGAGGGATGGGCTGACTCCACCCTTATTATTTATCTCCCTTATTTAAATTATTTACCTCCCTCATTTCATCAAAAATCAAAATGGTAGAAGTGATATGACAAAGCAATAAGCAGACCGATCAAGAAAACTAGTTAAATAACTCGGGAAGTCTTTAAAATGTATAACCCGATCAAATATTTATAACCTTTTAACCATATACTGAGGTATTACGGTTAAATAATGTTAAACAATTTGATCAATTCCCAAGCTGAGGAAGTCAAATGTGACAGGATATTTTGACAAGAACAAATCTTTGGTGCTGTTTAGCGTAATCTTAAAGATGAACAACACATTTAAAATAAAAATATTAATTTGCCTCCTCCTAGTGTCTATTAAATTTACGAGCCAGATTGAGATGGTGAGTTAGTGAACTTATAATCTCACTGACAAAACCGTCTTTATCCCTTATCAGTATGTTCTTAAGTTTAGTAACTCACATTGGGAAAATTGTAATACCGCAAAATAATGGATTTGACGGTCACGATGGCCAGTAAATATATCGATACCAATATTAAGTCAGCACAAAAACAACGGCCAGCTAAACTTAGCGTGGGACTAAAATCAAGAAGAGAAATATGATTATTACAAGCAAGTGGTGGGAGGTATTAAGCCGCGTTAAACGCTATTAAACGCTATTCGATCGTTCAAATTAAACTGGTGTAGGCTGTGTCTAGAGTGTTTATATCGTTTTGAGATATTATCCATAAGGTATAATACCTTTGTTCAGAAGCGGCTTCATATCCTGACTCACAGTTATTCGAGTGACGATTAACAATATTGTGAACAATGCTTTCCATTGTTTGTCGGGTGAGAGTATCTATTAGTATTGCTGAAGAACGAGTTATCAATCATTTATATGTAATAAAAAGTATGGCTAGGAAGAACGTAGTATAAAAGAATATCGCAAACAAAAAAGCAGCTCTTCGTGGACGCTATTAAGGAGCCCAAAACGGCATCAGTAGACTAACATCACTCTTAAATTACTCAATTTAAACTGATGGAAACTTTAGAACCGATCACGCGCCTAATCAGTTGACACATGACTAGTAGGAGCCAATCACAGTGAAGCTTGAGCCAATCAGAAGAGAGAAATATAAACATCAGTGGGAAATGACTGTGTCCTTCAAGGTGTCCCCAATGCTCAGCTTGGAGTCAGAAAGTTACGTGGCAAAAAATAATTGTAACGAAGTTAAACTAACAACTCAACGATAAGAAAAAAGTAAGATATTTTAGGAGCACCAGAAACCGATGCACCGGTGTTTCCTAGAAATTTCCAGGGACAGAACATGATTTTATTTTTACACAGAAAACATTTCAACAACTTTACACATCTGCCATTTAAACGTGCAACACAAACGATAGTCTATCAAGCTCACAATCTAGCCTGACAATTGGAGCACTGCCCACACGTCTACCCCACGTGACATCTACAAGCTAGTAAACTTCTCGAAGTTAGTCGGCCCACCTACTGAAATCTAGGCGTGTACGTCCAACGGACACCAATACTCTTCATGATGCTGAGAGGGAACAGGAGAGCGAGATGCATAACACATGATATATGATGTGTGAATATTATATGCAGGCACATATATGTGTTTCATGCATGTTGTAATAACTACACACGCAGTGACAGAGACACACACACACACACACACCCACCCACCCACCCACCCACCCACCCACACCCACCCACACCCACACCCCCACACACACACACACACACACACACACACACACACACACACACACACACACACACACACACACACACACTCACACACACACACACACACACACACACACACACACACACACACACACACACACACACACACACACACACACACACACACACACACACACACACACACACACACACACAGCTGGATATTCTGGGTGAAGCTGGCAGATGACTACTACTACTCTGACATGTTGTCACAAAGTATGTGACATGTCACAAGGTATGTGTGTAGTATGATAGTCCTACTGCCACACTATCTGTGTAACAGATAAGAGATGGGGATATTGTCCGAGGATCTGATGCCCGGTGTTTGATCTACACATTCTGGCTTCCCGGGTATTCAGCTGGCTTCTTTTGGATCTTCGCCGAGTGACAACACACGCGCACTTATCTTTATTTCCAAATTGTAGAAAGAATTTGGCCATGAAACATGAGAAATATGGGAAGAAAAATTTAACTACGAGTTATTTATACAGGATTTGTTTTCTCACGCTACCCACGAAGCATTGCAAGACAGAGAGTTTAAATATAGCTATAGGTGGTTGCTTGATTTAGAATATCTAAAATCGCATCAAAACCTTCAAAAATGAAGGAATTTAAACAGACGTTACGAGAAAAGCGTGGGCATAAAATACCAAATTATTTAGAACCATTTAGCAACATACCCACAATATTTCATAAGATATGTCTGGTTAGTCAAAAAAACTCGCTCTTTATGACCGTAAAACTGAATAATTGTACAACCATGACGGACTAGCTGGACTGAGCAAGCACGGCGGCAACCACACAACATGAACAACACTACTCTCAACAATATGTTTTGGCAGGCTGTGCCACACTTTGCCGGTTTTAGCGAGGGTCGTAGCTCCAAAAGGCGTATGTTAAACTAATATATATTATAATCATCTTGAGATAAGGTTTTCAGTTCACCTCACACAATCACAGCCACACAGATTGCGTAAACAAGCCTGCACTAATGCACTAATGCACTATGATTGTTACTTGGTGCAACAAACAGGCCGCTCTGAATATAGTGATTGTTGCCAAGTATTATAGACAATACAGCACGAAAATACAGTGACCAGGGGACTGCTCCTTAGCTGTGCTGTTCGAGTGGGATTGTGTTACACGTGGTGCACAACATGGTATCACTACAACACTATTTCTATGTTACTTTTGGAAAAGCTTCAGAAAAAAATATGTCGTGTGTAGTAACTAGTGGTCAACGACCTATGTATTACTGCTGAGATTGGAAAATTCTCAGAAAAGCAAGAAGTTGATGGACATGGAGGATGCAGCAGACTAAAACATGATTGGAAATAAAGTCATCGCTGTATTAATGAAATGCGTTATAAATGTCGAGTGGTCAACATTTTGTCTCTACGTTATCGACCTTTGTGATGCTGCTCAATCTACGTCATTTTGCAGCTTGTGTTTATAATATTAAATATCACAACAAAACCGACGCCAGTGTGCAAGACTAGGGTGTGGCTTAACGTCATGGTTCATTTAACAGGTGTAAACGAATTAAACCTATGTTAAGCTATGATGTGGTAAAGATCCATAACAGAGAAAATTAATTGATAATTTTGATTAAAAAACGATCATCACTAATTATAAACGAGTGATCAATAAAAATTCAAAAGGACGACTTAGCAGGCCACACACTAGCTTGCAGTACCAAGCTTTAATATAAGAGTAACCAATAACAAGTAAATACCAGGGTACACCAACACAAGAGATAGTAAACATTGAGGTGGTCACCGTCCCCACTACCCTGGCTCAGGCTAATCAGTAACCAGGATACGTTATACCATTTACAGGACACTAATCATTGGTAACTACTACTAGCGGGGACCATGGTAGATGTACTGGCAGGTACCAGCACATCTCCCCCTATAACCCTGGTGTTCCGGGTTATTGTTATATTGGAGGTTGTTTGGCTGAGAGCCAAACGGAAGTTTAAGTGATGGATCTTTTGTAACATTATGTTAGTTTGTGTTGTATATATTGGTGTATTGATCTGTGCTAAGACGGAGGTAAAGGGCCCTGGGGCCCATCTTCAACATGAATAACATCAACCTAGCGCTGCTCGAGAAACGAAAGTAGCAATGCCGGGAAAACGGGTTATCTTAACGAATTTTATAGCTATGGTAACAAAATAGATGGTTATAATAATGTTACAAAAATGTACTTAATACTAATAGAGTTCAAAATATACCTACTAAATAATTTTAATATGAACACCAATCCGTGGGATTAAAATGAATTGATTTAATTTATCTCGAATATTTTGAAGCATCAAGTATCGATCGTGCAGCAGGAAGTAATTATAATGTGCATTCTACTGAACCGTAAATAATATTGTTGAAGTTTATCCTGCGCCGTCTATTAAAATATTGACTACTAAATACTAAATAGTTGTCGAGACACCAGTTGAGCTTTTACTAACATATATGAACATTTCGAATCAAATTTAATTTGTTCTTAAATACTTGGCAATAATTCTAGGACGGAAGATAAATTGTTGGCAATTTTTGGAAATTTTGTATGCTGAACAGTGAACAGTGGTATATTGCATATGAAAATAATGACTAAATTCCCGAAAAGTCCCCCCCCCACCCCCCCTTAGTAGACGACTAGGATCCAAGTGAGACTGGTCACTACAGATCTGAGAAATCCCATTAGAATGAGGATAAATCGTAGGCATCAACCCCAGCCCACGAATCATGGGCAGGTGTCATAGATTACTTTAACCGAGAGGAAAAAGGAACATTCTAAAGTTCAGCACGCCAAAATCTCAATATGGTCTGATCATAGCCTGACATATGTTTCATGATATCAAATAGAATCTTCTGAAATTTAAAGTAAAAAAACGGCAAAATACAGAAAACGGTATAAATACGGTAAAAATACGGTAAAAACACTGAAAACCAAACACCGCTAAATAGGCACAAAAGTGAGACAATCACACAGATCACAGGAGATATCACACAGATCACAGATCACAGGAGATATACTGACGTCAGGTGATCAAAAACACCTTGTCAGGAGTTTCCTGAAACTCCTAGTATTAATTGTGAGATCTGTAGTTTTACAGTAGTAACATGATCCTATGAGACAGAGCTACTCAATACGAGGTTATGCGGAGGTTACTAGTAGCAGTGTGTTATCTGTGTGAGTGTGCTAATTATCTAGAACCGTGTCATTAGCTCATTTCTCCCCCGGGGATGAGGTGAGATGGTGCTGTTGCAGTGATTGATCGTTATGTAATGAAATTAAATGAAAAACACTGATGGTGTACCCCGCCCCATGTCGTCAATTCACACCCTTCAAGGTAGTGATTGCCGATGTCAGAGTGACTTCCTTAAACTTGATCCATCAGCAACGTGAAAATTACATGATCTGAGACTAATCTTAGTAAAAGAACAACTTGGACTTCTATGGAAATTTATCACTTTCTCAGAACAATAATACCAATAATACAATGATAAAAGGAAAATTTGATATAATTATAACTAATGGACTTCTATGGAAATTTATCACTTTCTCAGAACAATAATACCAATAATACAATGATAAAAGGAAAATTTGATATAATTATAACTAAAGAAATTCTAACAGGTTTTCAAAATATGATAGAAAACTAGAGTTTTGGAATAAAAAACAGGAAATAAAACTAGGAGAAGAGAAAAGTTTATAAAAGCATTAAACAAAATATTGGAGCATGGACGACAATCTTTACCATTCCCGGAAACTGATAAAAGCATTATTCCCTTTGGCACCCGTCCCTAAAAGTATAAATAACGGCACACCTGGGGTATGCGGTATAGTCAAACGTGACTGGTACTTTGTTTTTCAACCTGGGCCGGGGCCCTACATAATTATACTTACAACATAATATATCTCAGTAAATAACATGATCACATAATATGGTTAAAGCAATAATGGATGATGATAATAATAAATTAATCAATATGATCAAAGTAAAATTTAGAATAACTTACATGCCGAAGAGGAAAAGCGAAGCAGGGATCGAACCATTCCAGTAGCCGGTGTTTAAAGTTCATAACTATCGTCTGATTTCCTTATGTAATCCACTAGTTTAATTAAACAAGCAACCACCACTACAGACCCAACAACCACAACCACTACAATCGGCATTTTGCAAGATTCGAGGACGAATTGAATTGTTGAAGCGAAAAGAATAATCCGAGGAACGGTCACTGGAATGGTAACTAAGGAAATGACTGTCGAATAGTGTGGGGAATCTTATATAGGTTATTTAGCCTATTGTGCTAGCTTTGAAAAGAAAGCACTGCAAATGAGAACCGAGCTAGGGTGATGAATATTCTGCTATAGATTGCGAAACTGAAGTTTTAATATCCGGGTTTGTGATTGTTTTATTTTTATCATCCTAGCTGCAGCACAGAAAAGGGAGAAAATAGCTCGATCAAAGCTCGATCAAAAGAAGAAAATAGAGCATCGGCTGAACTGGTATCTAATAAGGTTGCATCGGTGAGTTACATACTGAGGAATATTGATGGGACCTTTGACAAAACCCTGTAACCAAAAGATAAGTCATTAATTCGCCAACCAACCATTACATTGACCACAGATAACCATGTTATCTGATAAGCGACCTTTTTAACATCTTATCGTATGTAGACGATATGTGAGGAATTTTCCCGAAATGTGAACTGTGCATTTCAAGGAATATGACACCCTAAAAAATGAGCTGAACAATGATTTTATCGCCAATAGTCTTCACGCACAGTGTCTAAAAAATCCAGAAAATTCTGGGACTGCTCTAGAAAATCCAGAAAAAATTAGAAATGCTTACTAAATAAAGAGGGTACAACTAAAATAAGATTTAGCGAATGATATTCTTCTTTTATGAAAACTTACTTTTTCATTCGCCAGTTAATTTATTAAGAATAGCTAGAAGTTAGTTAAAAATAACAAAAGCAATTCTAATGATCTAGACTGTTTGGTGACCACAGTAAATGAGTGAAATATGATCTCAGAATGACAGATTTGAAGCCCTGGATGACAACAGGACGTTATCAATGCAGTGCATGAACCAGCTGTCCATGATAGACAGTCTATCTGTCAGAAGATAGTGAGCTATGTACTCTGTGCCCACTGCCCACCCACAAGGACCCCCTATTACAGCTCATGTAAAGACTAAATCCGACCAGCAAAGTAAAATAGGTAATTACTTTAAGAAAGAAAAAATCATCGTTCAGGTCTTACCTCGTTGATGTGCTTGTATGTGTTGATGAGATCTATAGTTAGCTTTGTAAGGGGTGCTGTTTTTGAGTCTCTACACTGCGTTTGTCTCATCTCGGTCATCGCTGAAAAATGAATTAACGTTAGAGGGAAATCTAAAATCGACAATGGTCGTTAATGAATTATGAAATATCATGAATAGAAGCCTTGAGTGAGGCATAGCACAAATGCTACTTCAATAAGATTGGAAATTAATCGTTCAACGAGGACTCAGTTGAATTTACTGTGAGCCCACAACCCCCTTAGCCTCCCATCCCTATGCTACATTAACAAGAATGTATTTCTCTAACAAGCTAAATTCTGAAGAACAGATTAATAACGGAAAATTCTGACACTGTATTCCTAGACACAGCCTGCTATTCTATAATGCGATAAACTTTTAAAGCCACGTCAAGAAACAGCCCAGAAACTCTGATCCTGAATATGTAAATACTGATACAGACATCATAAATACCATGTTTACTGCATAACGGCTATAAATAGATCTATAATCACGTGAAGTCTTTGAACTCTATCCCGCCAAAAATTTGGGCCGCGAAAACACATTGTTTACGAACACATTTGCCCGCCATTGCACACACTGCCTAAATTGCGTACTTTTCATACGCGCGCGATGACTAAGGACTGACACTGTGGGCCTTTATATGTGTTTTGGCGCCAGTTTTTGGAGGAAATATGCCGGGTTCTAGGACTTTCGATGTGCCACGCCATGAACATGGATATCTTTTTCCTCTACCTACTTCCAGTAACTTGATACACGGCAAAACAAAACAAGACAAAAGAAACAGACATCGCAGAGGGAAACAGTCGAAATTACAAGCTGTGAAGTTGAAATCAGCGAGGTCAAGTTGTGCTGGCCATAACGCGCACAAAAAACGTGACACTCACGCTGTACACACCAGCGTACAACATTGGAGTTAACTACCGGTTTATCGACATCGTAATTACGATATTATCTAGCATCTAACCTAAAAGAGAGGAGTTGAACGGAATTTGAAAAGGAGATGGAGAATCACATGACGGAGGTTGGTAATTTTAGAGACATTACAAAGGGAAAGTGGTTCAGAAATCGGATGATAAACCCTAGAAAACGTCACATTGGCAGTACCATGACCAATTTATTGGAGATAATACCTGGAGATAAGACTTTGTTCAGTATATTCTTTTTATCATCACACCATGTTCGTGCTGTAAAATGGCATACTGGAACACTGTAACATGATTTGGGAAGAAATGTACAACAATTCTACTGTTTACTTTGCTATGACCCGGTCCAGATAGAGTTTACAGTTTATCGCAAGAGGCTATTTTTCTTATAACTGGGCGAGGATACGAGATTACCATAATATTACTATAGTTGTGGTATTGTAGTCTTATCTGAGTCACAATTTTTTTTCCAGACAATACATTTCAAATAGATAATAACTTCCTACAATTTAAACTATGAGTGTAAACTTTTACTTAACGAAGGAATGGTACCATGTGACGATAAGCTTCAATAACTTTTCATATTGTTGATTATCTCGGTGGACTACGACCCGAAATCACCAATGATCACTGTTTCGACTGATTGCTAGGTTATAATTGTAGCCTACAGAGAAATTGTATCCAGATAAACTATCGTTTCAACTCCACCAAATACTAGTTTTATAACTGTTCTGTGCCAAGTAGATTGTCAGCCAAACAGTCAGTTCTGATCCACATTACACCGTTTATATATATACTTTAAAACTTGTCTCGCTTATATGATCTGTATGTGGTATTTGATATTGTGATATTATCATCTTTGAAACCAGCCATTTTACAGCTTACTAACACATTCCGACCATCAACTGTAGCATAATCTGTTTTGTATGCCGCAGGCCGCTATATCATTATTTATGAGATATTGATGAAAGAGAAATATTGCACCTTGCCAAGGACGTAAGGAGAATGCAACACACCTTCTGTAGAATAGAGGGAGGGGCGTCAAATAATACAACTCAAAGGGAATATCTGAATATTGAGCAGGTGATCTAGGAGCTTGTCATCAGATTACACAATATATCATATAATAAATAATACCTCTGAGTCCACCATGTGTGCAATGTTGTTGTGTGCAATGTTGTTGATCAGAAAAGTGCTGTAATTAGATGAGATATACTGTTTTTATGATTCATCTAACACGTGATGTTCTCATTAGTTAGCAGATTAGTTAGTTAGCGTGATTTAATTAGAATAGACTGCCAATGGGGAAACTTACAGGAGTGTAGATAACAAATACGAATATAAAGAAAAATTCAGCCTTTAAAAAATCAAAGACTGGGATAAATTGAGGAGCATGATAACCCTAAAAGCTTCTAGAAAATGACGAAGAAAAAAAGCAATAAAGGTTATTAAAGGTTACAGTCGCCCCTCGAAAAAAGAAAAAAGCACCATACCTACGGAAAATTAATCTCATGACCAGCGAGACAGGGAGCTGGTTCCCAATTGGAGATCACCACCCCACGTGATTAAATACTCTCATTTGATTGGCTGATAGTTTGATCTACCGATAGTGACAGCAACCTTACACGTTGAAACTGACGAGGAAGTAAGGCTAGTTACACTGTACGTGATGTAAAAATGCAGGCTTTTAATTGGCTAACAGGACACCATGTGGGAGGAAAGGCCGGACTGTGATTGGTTGATAGGGGCTCCCCGTTATGCCTGATTGGTTTACATTGTGATGTTTGTATGTGATGGGTTTGAAATTGGGCGGCAAATGCGTGACGGAGACCAAAGACTCTGATTTAAAGGAAAAATGTCACGTTCGCATTTAGAGGTAAAACTATTCAAAAATGTAAATTACAACATCTTTATGATTCAATAAGAAACATGACCAACAGAACTATTAAAATATCAAGGAATGAAAAATGTAAAATTACTCGACAGTGTAAAAAAGCAGAGTTATACAATGTGACAGCAACGTGTAATATACACAAACAAACACATCACCACATCTGCAGTTACAAGATAAACAGTCACCATCAAATACCTGCTAAAAACGTGTCTAGTCTCTAAAAGTATAAATATAGCTGCATTCTCCACCTTGTCAAGTTATTAATACACCTGGTAGCGACTAAAATAAACTAACTGCACGGTCATTAGTGTTGTACACAAGTACACGCCTCTCATTGGTGGGGAAGTGTCACGTGTGAGGTGGTATCTACTGCTGATTGGCTTGTAGCTGTGTGCTATGCTCTCGCACAATATAGCGCAATGCATGACTTGCCATAATGTATATAAATATAGGCGTATATATTTGTGAAAGATTTATTTTTGATGTTGTGTTATAATATATCTGGTATAGGTATGTGGAAAACCTAAGGAATGAAGTGTAAGTGAAATATGTAATACTTACAAAAATGTGAGGCATTTGGGGATGGTATTTAGCTACCAGTACGTGATAAATTTAAACGGGAGTGAGAAATACGGGGTGTGTGTTAAAATAAATTTCTAAAGAGTTCAGACGTACTTCACACGACATTGACCACATTAAATTATAGGGTGTGCAAATTGGTGTTACGCATGCCCGGGTTACAATGAACTTTAAATTCCTGGAATATTTTATTGTTTAGGGGGTTCAACATTCCTGAATTCTGTAAGATCGCGTTTGTGTAACATTTAATGCGGAACATTAAACAAGATAAATGGGGACTCCAGTGTAACAGTGTCATGTGAGGAATGGGACTTGTAATTTAATAAAATGTTCAAGTGTCAGAGATTCGTAAAACGGTGTAGTAATTTATTAAAGCAGTGTGCAGCAATTTATGACTGAGCTGTAGTAAAAACTGAGAGTAGATTTTACATATATGACAAGTTTTTCTTGCAAGTTTGTTTCTCTATAATGGTGATTCGTATATTTGCTTGTTTTACAGCTTTGCTGCTGTTCTGTGAGTGTGAGAATTTCATACAATGTGTTGGGAAATGTTGTCAGTTACAACCTAGCTTTACCTTAGTGTTGGAGTATGAAATGTAGCAGTTTGGATAAGTAGTGTTAAAAGTTTACGGAGTAAAGCTTGCAGAGTAAAGCTTGCAGAGTAAAGCTTGCAGAGTAAAGCTTGCAGAGTAAAGTTTGCAGAGTAAAGCTTGCAGAGTAAAGCTTGCAGAGAAAAGTTTGCAGAGAAAAGCTTGCAGAGTAAAGCTTGCCGAGTAAAACTTGCAGAGTAAAGCTTGCAGAGTAAAGCTTGCAGAGTAAAGCTTGCAGAGTAAAACTTGCAGAGTAAAGCTTGCAGAGTAAAGCTTGCAGAGTAAAGCTTGCAGAGTAAAGCTTGCAGAGTAAAGCTTGCAGAGAAAAACTTGCAGAGTGAAGCTTGCAGAGTAAAGTTTGCAGAGTAAAACTTGCAGAGTAAAGCTTGCAGAGTAAAACTTGCAGAGTAAAGCTTGCAGAGAAAAGCTTGCAGAGTAAAGCTTGCAGAGTAAAGCTTGCAGAGTAAAGCTTGCAGAGTAAAACTTGCAGAGTAAAACTTGCAGAGTAAAGCTTGCAGAGTAAAGCTTGCAGAGTAAAGCTTGCAGAGTAAAGCTTGCAGAGTAAAGCTTGCAGAGTAAAACTTGCAGAGTAAAGCTTGCAGAGTAAAACTTGCAGAGTAAAGCTTGTAGTTCATGACACCGAGCAGCAAGTATTCTCAACAGGATGCAGCTAAATTTAGCCGACAAACCCCACCAAAACAGACACCTCAACCAGACACAACCAAAATCACGTGATAACAACATGACCTCTGATTGGTCGCCTAGAGATCACATGACCAGACACGATAGCTTGTACCCTGGGAGGACACGACCTGCTGGCTGCCTTCAGCCCGGCTCCATCTACTTCTCAGAAAGCACGGTCACGTGGTGGAGTGGTTCGGAGTACTGTTAGCTGATTGGTTGAAAGGGGCAGTGTGGTGGGTGGGATTGCAGTTTGCTACTACCTGCACAGCTGCTAAAAAAAAACTCTCTCTCACTATAGAAACAACATCTCTCCAGACTCTGAAGACTAGACACTTTTTAAATGGGTGCAACTACGAACTATCTAACAGGTTTACTCTGTCCATTTGTATTA